GTTTCTTGTTGGAGCATGGGGTGGGCGGGAGCTGCAGGCAGCTGCCTGCAAGGCAGCCTTGCCTGCTGCAGGGCTTGCCTGCTGTAGGGCTTGCCTGGTAGCACATGCAGCTCCTGCAGCTCCTCTGCTGCCCTATGTTTGCCGAGGACAGAAGCTAAACCCAGGTTAACAAAGTGGGTTGCAACCAGGGCTTTGATGCCTGGCTTGCTCTGTCATCGCTGTGGTGGGTCCCGAGCAACAACAGGCACCTCTCCAGGATGTTGCACTTCAGAGCAGTCCAGCATGTGTGGCAATGATAAAACATGAGTTTTATTTAAATCCAGCCCTGGAAAGCAGCAGGGAAGAGGCATGCTGGCTGATTTTGCTCTTGTTCCTGCTGGGGCAGGAAGGTCCCTGCTGTGTGCTTTGCTGCTGCCTGTGGTTGAGGCTCAGCAGCTCTGGGGATGAGCCTGGCTGCTGCTGTCTCTGGGGGCTCAGTGCTTGAAAGTCTCTGAGTAACAGGGTCAATTATTCCCTTCTTTTTAAAAAAAATCTCATTGCATCTTGCTATGTTGCCATTCCAGCTCTTCTTGCCTCTGGGAAAAGTGGTGGGGTTCTCCAGCAAGTTGCTGCAGCCTAAGATATCTCCTGTGGAGATGCAGGTGCAGCTGTTGGTGAACAGCTCTGGTCACTGCACACTGCTGAGAACTTTACACTTTCAAACCCAGCTCCAAGATGTGCCACTGCATCATACCTCCGTGCTTCTCCTCACTTCACTGCAGTTCCCTGGCTGGCTTTCAGCCATGCCTTGCCCACGTCCTATCTGTCTGTCCTTGGGTCAGCCTCAGCTGTAATGAAGCCTCCCTTGAAGGTGGCTTTACCCTGTCCCCGCTCTGCAGCCTGACAGCAGCCCTGGTTGCACCTGTGAAAACCATCTGGGTCAGTGGGTGCTGGAGCAAGGAGCCACCTCCAGCTGTATCTTGACTCTGTTCATGTCCTGGCTCCAGCACCATGGCCTGTACCCTGCAGTGGGGACAAATGGGGGGCAACAAAGCCCACAGCCAAAGACCACGTGTTCCCAGGAGTGAATACAGAAGGCTTTGGAGTTGACTGCACTCAAAAAAGCCACTCCAACCTGTCTTGGGCCAGAGCAAAGCCAGCTCAGGGCCAAATTGCTCAGAAACATCTTGTTGTGTTCCCACTGCTTTTTAAGGCTGGCCTTTAAGTAAAGCAGCAGAAGGCATCCAGCTCCCTCTCTCTGCTACATCTCCTGGTCCTTGCACTTGCATTAAATGGCATGGGCAATCCCCACCTCAGCCCCAGGACCTTTGAGGGGGACTAGTTCCCCCAAAAACAGATGGACAGGCAAGCAAATGCACTGCTGTAATGCAGCTCAGCAGAAAGGTCCCTCAAATATCTAAAAAGTGATACAGCTTTTATCCAAGGGAGAGATCACCACTTTCAACTGCCTTTCCATTAAATTCTCATTCAGTTTAAAAATGAAACTGTAGCTAAACAATTAGTCAGTGTTGTTAGAGTAGTATATGGGGCATAGATAGAAGAAAATACTGAATCTGAGATATCCCTGACACCCTTTTTTTTGGGAGGAATGTGATTGATTTGTCCCTATTTCCTAGATTAAACCCAGAAGCAGCATTTTTTAGTAAGCCAGGATTGGATGTTCTGCCCAGCTGTGAGATGTAGGAACATGGTGTTGGTGGCTCCACTGGTGGGTGTTGTAGTGAAGCATCCCTTCTTTACACTCACACTGCATTAGAAGCCATTTTAGATCAGCAGCTTCCCTGAGTTTTGAGGAAATGCAGGGAAATGATTCCTCAGGTAAAAAGCAAAATTCAGCCAGGAGTTCTGCTTGGGCAGGGACTGTGGCCCCAGGGCTGCATCGTGGGTCATGTGATGGTCTGATGTGGGTGTAGGCTGCTGGCTGTATGCTGAGCATCATGGAAAACCTGCCAAGAAAGCAGCTTCCCAATAATAATGTGGTAATACGAGCAAGCTCAGAGCTCTTCAGGTGTTGGTACCCTCCAAATGCCATTTGCTGCTTGCAAGAGCAGCTGAACTGTGGCTGTTTCATGTCGGAAGTGTTTTCAATGCACAGGTTAAAGGAGCACCTCAAAGCCCTCCCTGGTGAAGATGAGATGGTTTCAGTGCAGTACAAGGGGAGGGTGATTGGTCAGATCGAGTGCCTGGCCGTGACGGTGGGAGCCATCCCTGTGGAGTGCTCGGCCCTCGTCCTGGGTGAGTCTGTGTGTGCTCCTCTGGGTCCAGGCTGGGGCTCTGCTCACTCTTACCCCAGGGGGAGGAACCAAGCTTCAGAAATGTGTTAAAAATAAAATATAGATACTGCTTTTCTGCTGCAGAAGCCCTTGTTAGGCCCTGCAAATGGAGAGAGGGAGGGGGGATGCGTTCAGCAG